AGCTCTGGCTGTTTCAGCCACTTGGCAAGTAAACCAGTTGATGAAAGCTCTCTTTCTCTCTCCATCTCTAACTCTGCCTTTCAAATTAATTCAATAAATAAATAAATATGTCCAAGTCAGATATACAGAGAGCAAGATTTTCCATCCGATGATTCACCCCCAAGTGACCACATGGGCTGGAACTGCGCCAATCTGAAACCAGGAGCCAGGAACTTCTTTTGGATCTCCCAGGCGGATGCAGGATCCCAAGGCTTTGGGTCATCCTCGACTGCTTTCCCAGGCCACAAGCAGGGAGCTGGATGGCAAGCAGGGCTGCCAGGCTTAGAACCAGCGCCCATATGGGATCCTGGCACATTCAACAAGAGGACTTTAGCTGCTAGGCCACTGTACCATGCCCAATGAATAAATCTTTAAAAAAAAAGTTATGGCCAGAGGCTGGCACTGTGGTGTAGCAGGTGAAACCAGTGCCTGTGTGTTGGCCTCCCAAATAGGTGTTGGTTTGCTGCTTCCCTTCCAATCCAGCTCCCTGTTAGTGAGTCTGGGAAATCAGCAAAGGATAGCCCAAACCCCTGGGGCCCTAGACCCATGCGGGGGGCCCTAAACAAGCTCCTGGCTCTTGGCTTTAGGCCAACCCAGCTGCAGCTGCTGCGGCCACTGGGAAATGAACCAGCAGATGTAAGATTTCTCTGTCTCTCCCTCGTCTCTCCAACTCTGCCTTTCAAATAGTCTTTAAAGGAATTATTTAATATATATTAATTAAAGAAATTTAAATATGTGTATATATATATATCACCTATGCCCTAAGGTTATTTATGAAGGTGATATAGCTAGTGCTTAATACCTGATATCAAAATGCATAATTTAAAAATGCAAAATGGATGATCTGAGGCAGTTTGCTTACTTGGTGCCTGAGTGTGTGCCAGCACATACAAGCTTCAGGTTTTGACTGTGGATGGGCCTAACAATCCCGGTCTCACAGAGTAAATTAAGAGGCACTACCTGAAACACCAATTTCTGTCTGGAACGTAGCGAATTTTGCCCCTCAGTCTTTCCCTTTTCCTCCTGCTTTCTGCTGTCACTCCCATTCTTCCTTCTTCCTAATGTCTGTCTTCGCTGAGAGCCCCAAGAAGGCAGGGCATGTGCTGTTTTCTTCATTGCTGTGTCTCGCAGTATCTCGTAAGTGCTACCTAAAGTTGTATACTTAGAGCATCAGCTAAAGACAAACAGGGAATTGTGACCACTGAAAGTCCTGTCGGTGAGCTTTCAAAATCAACAGTTCTTTTTTAAATTGTTGTAGTCACTTGGCTACATTAATTGATCAGCTTTTTTTTTTTTAAGTTGAGTTCCAATGCAAACACTTGGGTGAAAAGTATGTGGAGCTACTAAGAAAATTACTTCATGATATTTGTTAAAGATGGTATAGCAGATTTTCTTCAAGGTACCTTTGTATGTGGGTCTTGCAGTGGAGAAACAGAGCTTGGGTCAGTGGATGGAAAACTAAGAAAAAACGTCAGTAGGGAGGGGATCCTGACAGGAGTTCATGCTGGAAGCAGGCCAGGGTGATAAGACAGAGTAATCGGATACCAAAGGTGGGATTGCCACCAACCAGGCAGAGCTGGATTCTTGCTCAAACTGGATTCCACAGGGGCAGGAAGGAAGGCACAAGATAAGTCCAATCAGATAGCACTCCGGGGCCTGGCGCAATGGCCTAGTGGCTAAAGTCTTTGTCTTGAAGGTGTCCAGATCCTACATGGGTGCTGGTTCTAATCCCAGCAGCTCCACTTCCCTTCCAGCTCCCTGCTTGTGGCCTGGGAAAGCAGTCGAGGACGGCCCAAAGCCTTTGGATCCTGCACCCGTGTGGGAGACCTGGAAGAGGCTCCAGGCTTGTGGCATCGGACTGGCTTAGCTCCGGCCGTTGCAGCCACTTGGGGAGTAAATCAGCGGACAAATCTTCCTCTCTGTCTCTCCTCCTCTCTGTACATCTGACTTTCCAATAAATAAATAAATCTTTACAAAAAAAGAAAAAAAAAAGAAAACACTCCGGATCCTGATCCAGGCACGATCAAAGGAATTTTTATGAGAGCCATTCCTGGATTATTATTATTATCTATTTTCATGTAAATTTTTAAATTTCACTTTTATTATTTATTTATTTTTACAGGAACCTGAGCTTAATTCTTACTTTATTGAGAACCAAGAATGTCATATCTAAGAATGATGAAGAAGTTGCTGGAATAAATATGTTCAGGTTAAGGTGACCTTGCTCTTAGGAGAGAATAGATTATTTTAGGATGATACGTTATGAGAACAAAGCAGGATCAAAATAACAAGGTGACATAAATAGCTGTTCAAACAAGTTAAATTCCAACAGAGCGCCTGGACTTCATTCTCGGAAACCTTGGCATTTCTCAGTACAAACCCTCGGTGGAAATGAGTATAGACAGAGAAGAGGAAAGGAGGTATGTACACACACAGAGATTTAGCAGGGCAAGAAGTAAAGCGAAAAAAGGAAAGGCTTTCCAAAGATACAGATTTTTAATTCAAAACATTTTTAACAAAAACATACATATGTTTTAAAGATTTACTTATCTTTTACTGGAAAGGCAGATTTACAGGGAGAAGTAGAGACACAGAAAGAAGTATCTTCCATCCACTGTTCACTCCCCAAACAGCTGCAACAGTTAGAATTGAGCCAATCCAAAGCCAGGAGCCAGGAACACCTTCCGGGTCTCTGCGTGGGTGCAGAGGCACCCTCTACTGCCTTCCCAGGCCATCAGCAGGGATACGGATGGGAAGTGGAGAAGCCAAGACATGAACCAGCTCCCACATGGGATGCCAGCGGTTGCAGATGGAGGATTAATCATTGAGCCATTGCACCAGTCCCCCAAAAAGGTATATAGTTATTTTTATCAGAAAGTCAGTATACAGAGAGAGGGAGAGATCAAGAGAAAAATTTTCCATCCACCAGTTCACTCCCCAAGTAGCCACAATGACCAGAGTTGAACCAATCTGAATCCAGGAGCCAGGAGCCTCTTCTGGGTCTCCCACATGGGTGCAGGGTCTCAAGGTTTTGGGCCATCCTTGACTGTTTTCTCAGACCACAAGCAGAGAGCTGGATGGGAAGTGGAGCAGCCGGGACATGAACCAGCGCTCATGTGGGATCGCAACACATGCAAGGTGAGGATTTAGCCACTAGGCTTTCACGCCAGACCCCCAAAAGATATATTTTAACAAGAACAACAAAATAAGTCAATGGACAAAGGAAGTGAGAGTAGTTACACTACAAAACCTGGATTAAGGAGAGCTTCTATGGTTCTAGACAGACTGGGGAGAAAGGGCAGTAAGGGAGGTTATTTATTTGTCATTCTCTAGTTCAGGCTTCCCCTTGGGCTGTCAGGAGGGAGAGTACTGTACATTCTCACGCTGCCACCGGTGAGCATGAGAACGAGGTGTGTATGAGAGCCGAATGGGATGCAGGATGGACTGGACCAGTCTGCTGTACACACCAGCTTATGCAGGAGCTGAGGTTGTGGGGCGGGCATGGGGGCAGATATTAGAGGCCACTCCGACTAGGCTGTAGTTCTGGCTGGTGTGCATGAGGACTGAGGGCGCAGAGGGCAGTGTTAGGCTGGGCCACAGTATCCATTGGTTTGGATATGAGATGGGGTTGGGGACAGAACTAACCAGGTAACTACAGTCAGTATGAGTGATGGACTGAGCCAGACCCTGCACTGGCTGGCACACACAGCAGTCAGGTCTGGGGTCACTTGCGGTGAGATTTCTTCGGGAACACTCCCACCCCGCAACTGGACTGTGAGACTCAGGACTCCAACCATGGGGAAGATCACAGGCTCTGTGGTCCGAGTGGAGTGTGCCAGAACCAAGCCTGCTTGGTTGCTGAAGCCTGTGCAGCGAATGCCAGATGCACATGAGGACATGTCAGGTCATTGAGGCCTGCAGAGACCTTCTAGTACCGTGGAGGGCAGAACAAGTTCAGCTCTCCTGGTCAAACTTTTAGAGTGAGTATCTGGGTGAGTGGATGCACTAGGGTGGTCTATGTCAGCCAGTGGACCTTGGAAAGATTTCCTGAACCTTGAAGCAACAAAAACAACAGCATTTCAGAACTATCGAAACCACTTGAGCAATACCCTTGGAACATGTTCCACATCGGGGACCTTGGAATAACATCGAGTGGCTGCCCCCTATCCCCAGGTACTGGCACTGCTGGATTTCTGGGGGTGGCCTTCTTCCCTTCCCTCCCCCTTCTCCAAGATACAAGAAGGAAAATGGAGATTGGAGATAGTTGTCTTATCCACTTTCCCTGTTCCTTGACCCTTCCCACTCTGATCAGACCCACATTGGCATGCATCCTTCTCAATTATGTAAACATCATCAATAATAAAATAAATAATTATTAAAAATAACATATGAACTAAAAGCATATGAACCTATTGACCACTGTGGTTCCCTTCAATCTGGGACCCCAAACCAAGGGCCTGCTCCTTTGCTTTCTAGCTTCAGAACCAGTGTCAGTGCTCTGGCCAAGTATGCTTGCATGAAGCATTTCATTCTGTCCTCCCTTTGGTCCTCTCCACATCTTTTCCTTAGTCATGTATCTTGCAAGTCATGACTTTGCAAAGGTGAACCATAAGCAGGTGGCAGTGTCTTAAAGGGAAGGAGAGCAAGGCCTAATATGGGTCTTGGATTCTGGCTGATTATCGCAGGAAATCAAGCTGCTGCATCTTAGTCTCCTTACGTGAAATATATTAGTAGTGAAGATTTCTCTCTTACAGCAAATGTTGATGGTTTTCTTATATTTCTGGCTTGCTCAAAGAATGTACAGGCCCTTACAACCCAAATATCTCTTGCTCTAGAGTATTGTATCTACAGTTTTAAATATAAGCCAAGTCTTTGAGTCTTAGTGGGAATGGCAGGAAGATGGACACAAGGCAAGCACGGGAGGACGAGGTGGAAGGGGCTTTCAGCCAGCGGACACTTACCACTTTTTGATTGCCTTCATTATCGGTGAGCAGCCATTCAATATCCAGGGTGTCTTTTTCTGGGAGCCCCAGTTGATGGTGACAGGGCAGAGTGACCTTCTCCTCTGCCACTCTCTTGATCTCAGTGTGAGTCCCCAAGGTTCCAACATAAAAGGAAACTGGAAGAGATAAACCTCTAATGAGCAATGTGGAAACTGGGTGGCTATGGATGGAGAGGAAACATCACAGCAAACGATTGTTGAATGTCCCATGGGCAAGAAGAAGGTCAAGGTGTTGGGGAAGAATCCTGTTGTCGCTCACAGTCTCCCCTGTTAATGGAATTCATCATGTCTTGAACCCCCTAAGTTACTCCAGCTTACACTATTTTTTTTTTACCTCATCCAATTTTTTATAGATAATGAAATCACTGGGGTCAACTATCGTGCCTTTTATCTCTCAGTCTTCCAGCAGAGCCTTCCAAAAGAACATTGCTCATGGAAACCACACACCAGGTGTCCCAATAACTCACATTTTTTAACGTATAGAATCAGAATCTTGGGAGGCTATAGAAAACTCAAGACGAATCTTCTTACTTTACCAGAGGCTTTCTTTTTTTCAAGATTTTTTTTTTTCCTTTTTTTTGGAAAGGCAGATTTATAGAGGAGAGATAGAGAGAAAGATCTTCCATCTGCTGGCTGGTTCCCCAAGTGTCCACAATGGCCAGAGCTGAGCTGATTCAAAGCCAGGAGCTTCTTCCAGGTATCCCAGTGCGGGTGCAGGGTCCCAAGGCTTTGGGCTATCCTTGACTGCTTTCCTAGGTCACAAACAGGGAGATGGATGGGAAGTGGAGCAGCCAGGACACGAACTGGTGTTCATATGGGATCCCAGTGCTTGCAAGGCAAGGATTTAGCCACTAGGCCATCACACTGAGCCCTAAAGGCTTTTTAAAATCCAACAGCAGTTGTTGCGACCAGTAGCATATACTTTAGAGTATGAAAAGACAACTACACAAGCATCATAATTTGAAGGGAATTTATTCATCATCCAAGGACTGCAATTTGGGGACGGTAATTACAGGCAATTAATTATAGGGTTCAGGAGGAACATAAATCTTTCAAGAATTTTATAAATATTAGGCATACTCTATGTAAATCATCTGATATAGTATTTAACACTTAATGACTCTGAATAAAAGTAATTGATTTTATTATCAAGAAGATGGTATTTCATTTACACTCTGGAAAGCAGAATTCACTTGGATAGAAATAGAAGAAGAGGAAAGGTTAAGGGGAGGAAGGCGTAGGAAGGAACAGTCTTGCATGGGATGTTGGGGGCTATGGGTGGGACTGCTAACAAATAGCTTGGCTGGCATGAAGATGTGGGAAGGAAGTAACACATTACACAGATCAGTGAAGCAGGTGAAGTGGTGAAAGAAAGGCCTTGTTTGCGGCAGTGGGCTTCATGATATAATTCCTTGCCTTGCTTGAGGAAGAGAGGTTTAGGAGCTGTACACACACGTACACATAAAAAGGATACTAAAACATGCCTTTGGGAAAGCTGCTACATTTTGGAGAGCAAATCTCCAGGATAAGTTATAAAAATGATTTTAAAGAAATGAGAAGTAATGAAGTCGAAGCGATATAACACAAATGGAATTAAGAAAATGATGACTGGTCCTGGTGCGGTGGCCTAGCGGCTAAAGTCCATGCCTTGAAGGTGCCGGGATCCCATATGGGCACCGGTTCTAATCCAGGCAGCTCCACTTCCCATCCAGCTCCCTGCTTGTAGCCTGGGAAAGCAGTCGAGGACGGCTCAAAGCCTTGGGACCATGCACCTGCGTGGGATACCTGGAGCAAGTTCCTGGCTCCTAGCTTTGGATTGGCACAGCACTAGCTGTTGCGGTCACTTGGAGTGAGTCATCGGATGGAAGATCTTCCTCTTTGTCTCTCCTCCTTTCTGTATATCTGACTTTCCAATAAAAATAAATAAATCTTTAAAAAAGAAGATGATGATGACTGCATAGGCAGTAATAGGAGCACCAGGAACACACTGTGTTTTCTTTGGTTGGGAAATCGAAATGATAGACACTAAGTCTGAATTTAAATATGTTGTGTAGTCTAGGCAGCAATGCCCAAAAGACAGCTCTGGGCTCTGTTTTTGACCACAGTGCCTCCCTTTGCCCTGCAGATAACCCATAGAGCTCCTCCATGACAAGCTTCAATTGATATATTGGAGAAAACTCCAGCACCCTGGGCATGGCTTGCTTATCCAGTGTCTCATAAATCAAGCTCCTGCAGATACTCCTGCTCCATCTGTTGTGCTAAATCGTGTCAGGTCCCTACATGTCCATTGGTTATTCCATGGAAGCATCGTTATGTGGGAGTTGGCATCTTCCCTACACAGATTCCAGTGTTAAATCATGTAAAGGAAACATCCTCAGGCACATTTTAAGAATAAAAAAATGCAAAGAATCCATCCTCCCTCAATCCCCATGAAGCATTTGTAGAGCAGCTGGGAAATCTGCCAGTCTGCCTGGTGCTAAACGAAGCTTGTAAGGAGGCGATCTGACTTCTGTTACTGCTGAACACAGCAGTGCTCGGACGGTCCTGCTAGGGACCAGACAAAGCTAGGGAAGGGGAGAGATGAAGGGAGAGGCCCCACCCATTCCCAACCATCCCAGGGTCCCCAGATGTGGTGCTCCTGGGGCCCTGCTCAAGCGGTTTTGATAGTTCAGCTATTCTGAATTGCTGACAATCTCGCCATTCCAAGCACGATGAAATCTCTCCAGAATCCACTGGCTGACATAGTCCATCTTGGAGTCTCCGTTTGGACTTTGGGCATTTAGTAAGCATTTACTATCCAAAATAATAATTTTTAAAAAGAGACTGACTCTGCTTTGAAAGTTGCTCAGTTCAGCCGCTAGAGGGAATCAAAGGCTCAGATTTGGTTGATGTCCTTTTAGGACAGGAACCTAGTGGTGGGTGGTGTGCTTTGCAGCACACCAAGCTCTATTTATATCACACCCAGAATTAAATAGAGCAGTGTGGCAAGTGGGCCCTGGTGAATACAAACGCTCCTCGCGAGGCACAGAGCCTCAACCAAAGCACTTGAACATATAATCTCACCTAAACCTCAGCATCTCAGTCTTAGGATTTCACAAGGGTTCCCACAAATCTCTAGGGTCCTTCAACACCTCGTGTCTCTATACTCTTATCCACATCCTGAATGGCCAGGGCCCGGGTTCTCCGTTTCATTCTCAGACTTGGCAGTGATCACGGGGCTGACGAATGTGCATCTTCCATCCAGGGCTAAGAAGGATGCAAGGGGCAGTCCGCCACCCTGAAGCTGGGCTAGGATTCTCTGGGCATTGAGACAGCCATCTTCATTAAGAACTTGGAGATCATCCTTTAACTTAGGGGGACATTCTTAGCTCAGAGAAGTGAAATATCGAGTCACAAATGTAGTAAGTGGCAAAACAGTATCCAACTAAGTACCTGGGATTTTAAGGCAATATTTTTGCTTGTGGGAAGAGTTGCTGGATGCTGTTCATGGTAAGGAGGACCTCTGTATACACGTGCAAAATGCATCTCTGGAAGCTGCAAGCTCTTCCTAACTCAAGGTTCTACATGCAGCTCAGGTGCTTAACTGATAGTCGGTGGGAGCTTGGGAGAATTACCTGCTTTGAGCCTTAATTTTCTCAGCTGCAGAATAGAAAGAACTGAGGTAATACATGAGGTAGCACAATGACATGATAGGGTCTTCCTTCCAGCATGCCATTTGCTTTCCTTTGCTTACCTGGGACTTTATGTCAGATGCCTGCTGCCTACATTCAGCTAAGATGGGCTGAAGGTTTGACTCTCTAAAGGTAACAACAGCATTTTATTAATGATTCTCTTGGACCTGCAATACCTCCAAAGAGATAGGCCGGGGTAACTTTTAATAGCAACAAGAATGCTGCTTTTAAAAAATCGATTTCTCGGGCCCGGCGCGGTGGCGCAAGTGGTTAAGGTCCTCGCCTTGCACGCCCGGGATCCCATATGGGCGCCGGTTCTAATCCCGGCAGCCTCGCTTCCCTTCCAGCTCCCTGCCTGTGGCCGGGGAAAGCAGTCGAGGACGGCCCAAAGCTTTGGGAACCTGCACCCACGTGGGAGACCTGGAAGAGGCTCCTGGCTTCGGATCGGCATAGCATCGGCCGTTGCGCTCACTTGGGGAGTGAAACATCGGACGGAAGATCTTCCTCTCTGTCTCTCCTCTCTGTATATCCGCCTTTCCAATAAAAAAATAATAATAAAAATAAATCTTAAAAAAAATCGATTTCTCTCTTAATTTCCTAACAGAAAGTTCTTCAGTTTGGCAAATGCTTATTAGATGCCTACAAGGCATGATTTTCCCTCTAGATCCCCATACTGTGTCCGCCAGCATGGTCACTATCAGATGGGCACCCAACATTTCTTGGGACAGGAACAGGTTGCTTCTTTCCTTAGAAGTGAGTTATTCTGCAAGTTGTATAGACCAATAGTTCACAAGTCACAGAGTCAGGGAACCACAGAGGGCTGTCTAATGCCAGGGGCAGGAACTGTGCCTTGCATGCAGCCTAGTGGCTGAAGGAGCACCCTCCCGGGTGCCTGGGGTAGGGAAGCAGCTCCTTCTGCGCGGTGAGTGCACCCTTTTCAGGGCACTTCATACAGTCCACTGTTCACTGACAGGAAAGCGGATGTGACACTTCTCATGGAATAGTTGAGAAAGCCTCAGGAAAATCGATCACTAAATGCCAGTCATAAAAATAAAGAGACTGCAGAAACCTTCCACTCAATCTCTGTCATAATATAGATCAAGAAACTGAGGCTTGGAGAGAAGCGACTCAGTCCTGATCATATCCTGTGTTTATATTATGTATATAACATATACCATATACATGCTTATATGTGTTTATATCCATATATTATATATCCACATATTTAAACTCTGCAGGTATTTTTTTGTGTGTATGCATATGCATAAACTTTTAGATTGTTTGTGGAACACCGTATGTAATTAAGACAGCATGATATAAAGCAGGCAGTTTGTATACAGACTTGGGTTTAAGTAGTTTCTGTAAGACAAGGTCACTCCCGGATCACTCTGAGCCTTTTCCTTCTCACAAACTGAGAATGAAAGCATGGACTTTGAGAGGCTGCTA